AGTGTACTTAAAAAACTGTTAATCTATTAAAAAAACAAAAAAAAATGTACAATTTCATTTTTCTAAAATTGCAATGTTTTTCACACTCACTTCCCTAGACAAAATGAATGTTATATAGGATTATTAACAATCCAAATAAAAAATATAAATTAAAGTTATTTTCATGAAGAATTTTAACTCACGATAGAGCGTACCGTGGAAGAGCGCACACTGTCGTCTGCTTCGTGGCAGTGACATAATCCGCGATCAGAAACCGAGGCTAGGAAATGTCGGTTGAATATATAAAACCTCGAGTACTCAAGTCAAAAATCGATGACCGAGAATCCCTTCGATCGATAGTTATGACGTATTAATGACGTCATTAAATTTAACCTCAATATCAAAGTGATCTTCCGATCACTATTATGTCGGGTTTCCTTTGACGTCATCACCTTTCAAGGCTATACACATTTTCCAATACTCTTGATTCACCAAGCATTCCATTGCTTTTTATAGCAATATTATACAATACATTACAGAATTTGAAATTTTCGAAATGTCTATATCTATATATTTCCATTGCCCGATTTTCAAATGATTGCACCTTCGTATCTATGCTTTATTTTTGTTCCTATGTTTTTATTTATATACATTTCATTAGTATGTATCCTACTTCAACGTACAATAAGTGCGCTTGAACGATTTGGACATTTTTCCAAAATGCAAATTGTTAGGATATAATTCTTCAATAATTTGCGAATAATCGTGAAATAGCACAAAAGAATCCCTTGCCAAATGATAACTTGCAAACATATATAAGCTTATGAATGTTTTTCGAATATGTTTAGGATATTCAAGATTGCATGCGACGCAAATATGCAAAATAGAATAAGAATTCTTAATCCAAAGAGTTATGTTAAGAAATATTAAAATAACAACATTATTTCTGAATAAGTAAGCTAACATACGTATTATGTCTGCAAATATATATACGAATTAGTAACGCAAACTATGATACTATTCAAAGAGATTTTTCAAAAACAAAATTTGCAAAGTTTGTCAAAGAATATGCTTTTCATTCTATTTCAAATAACATGTATTATAGAAGATACAATATCGAAAATATACAACAGAATTATTTCTAAGACCATAAAGGCTAACATCTTTTGCAATGAAATCAAAACTTAAAACTTTTTTGTAATAAGCTACGAAGAAGGTCCAATGTCTTCACACATTGTGTAAACTTACTATTTAAAACTAACTCTTACCTTAACTGTTGGAATACTATATGGAAGTTCCTTTCTATGTCCAATGTATATATAGTAATGTATATAGCACCGCACTTGAAGATAGCGAGCGGAATGTCGCTCATGAGAATCTCGGCACACTTATGTCACAGCACAACTATCCACTTTGCATTTTAAACGCGAAACGGGATTTCAATTTTTCAAGTCGAATAAGAAATCGTGATAAGTTGGGGGTGGTAGGAGGGCTTTCCTCGTCAGTTCCTTGTCACACAGTAGCTTCTAATGTACAATAGGAGGAATTCTCAGACTTGTCCGCGGTCTCACAACGAGGCACCACGAGGACACCGATGTCGTCAATACAGTATTTTCCCTACGTCATAGATTACGACAGCGGAATTCCCGATCGATACCAATTCTACTAGTCTACATGGAACTAAGATTCCTGACAATACAAGACTTATCGATCGTATCAGTTCCACCAGAGAAATCCCCGGTCTAGTTTCATGCTTCACTAAACCAATTTTCTTCAAGTTGGCCCGTAAGGTACTTTTAATCGGTTCTCTCTATACCGTAAAATATCATCGTACGCTTTGACCGGAAAATATACACTGCACTTATACTAATAAAAAAAATGTAAATTACGACTTAGGTGTTCAAACAAATAAAAACTATCGATCAAAATGTGTCCCATACATTATCTGAAATTTTTAATTAAAAGTATCTTACCGTTAATTTCTACACGTGAAAACTATTCAAAAGGTTTTGGTTAATGTCAACAACGTTTTCAATAATGAAAACTAGGTATACTGCCCCTTTAAACGTTTGACAAAATACAGGCAATGTCCATAAATAAGAATAAGAACTAAAATCTAAAAGCATACATATAAAAGCATAAAAATACAAGACTCACCGTTTTTCATAAATTTTCTTTATCAATTGTTAAAACACATTCCCGATATACATAATAAATATAGATGTTTTATACCCACATATTCTTCAAAAAATATCACTTTGGCTCAAAATACAGTTAATCCCAGGACTATTTTCTTATCTCACGAATTGCATCTCCATTGATGCAAATTCTTCGTGGTTACATTCCAGCTTTACCTGTTCACCATATAGTCTAAATTCCCATACACAGCACAAGTCCAAAACATCCAAAGTTCTTATCAACACAATGGAAGCACGTTTCCATCCAAACCCAAAGTCACTTACGTCAAATTGGCACTGTTTCCATCTTGTCCATAAAAACATGCATGAAAGTGAATATTCAGTTTCCAATGCTTCACTTTAAAATGTAAATTTCCTCTTCTTTAATCGTTCCGAAATTTTTCAAATCGTTCTTAAGCATTTGTTTACATAATACATTAATTGAGCAAAAGTCTATATCATTTACATATCCAACAAAGTTTTTGGCCAATCTCGCTCATACAATGATAGCGTTAAACCTCAATATCTCACACATACATACCAAAATATTGTGTTCAATTCAATATCATCAGATATTCCGTGTGAGTTTGGACGCATATGGCAACCAGCAGCACTGGGTTAGGAATCTATAGGAAGAGTCGGTCGTTTGTTTTCGAACTAGTATAAGATTTCAATATATAAACCAAGAGATGTAGGATAATTTTAACTTATCAACATTGACTTCTCTTAAACTTCTATCATTGTTCTTCTAACTAGTGTTTACCGTTAGGTTTTTTAACATGGCAGCAAATCATACGATGGGCATATTTAACATAAAGATAGATTTAAAGCGTATGCAAGACTTCAGACTTAATGCAACTTGCAATTGTTAGTCTTTTATTCAAGTACTACTGCAATTATTATCATTATCATTGTCATCTTTATCATTGTTATATAAGATCATCTTCATCATTAATATTGCCGTCATCATTATTCATATTAAATCATCTTCATCATTATCATTGCCGTCATCATTATTCATATTAAATCATCTTCATCATTATTATTGCCGTCATCATTATTCATATTAAATCCTCTTCATCATTATTATTGCCGTCATCATTATTATATAAGATCATCTTCATCATTATTATTGCAGTCATCATTATTCATATTAAATCATCTTCATCAATATTATTGCCGTCATCATTATTCATATTAAATCATCTTCATCATTATTATTGCCGTCATCATTATTCATATTAAATCATCTTCATCATTATTATTGCCGTCATCATTATTCATACTAAATCATTATCATTATTATTGTCATTACAAATCGAAGAATGTCATTATTGTCATTATCATTGTGATACTTAATAATATCATCATCATTAATTTAATTATCTTTTCGGTTACAGCTCAATGTCGCTGCAACATATTCAGGATTATTATAGTAATCATCATTATTATTATTATTTTTTACATATTGAGGATAATCATCATTATAATTATCATTACTGTTATCATCATTAAAATGATTCCGTATTCAATTTGTTCAATGATCATCGGCAAGTCATACTACATAACTTGTCCATAAAAAAAACATCAAAAACCTTCATTATTATTAATATTATTAGTAATTATTATCATTTTGTCAATCTTCATCATCATTATAAGATTCGACTGTTAACCAATAATGCTCGCCATCATAAATATGACAAATGCTACAGATCGTCTTTATTATTATCATCATTAGATTCTATTAGATTGTTAACCAATAATGAAAATGACGGTGTCAGCGGTATTTTAGGCAACAGTTCATTTATTTGTATTATTCCGGTTGAAGTTAAACTTCTTCTTAACACCTTCATTATAGGTGTTTTGATAGCACGTGGGTATATATATAGCTATAAGAGCTGACAAAAATTTGACGCACATAGTCTGCGATATCTGCTTATGTTGAATTGGACATTAAACTGTCATCTATGATTAAACCAACCTATTTGCCAAAAGCTGCAACATTATCCAATAATGAAGAATGTGCCATGTCAAATTATAAAGAATGCGACATAATTGATGAGGGAAAATGTGAGCCATCTTATGATGAAGAATGTAACAAAATCCAATAATGAAGAACGCGACATATCCTTTGAGGTATGCGACATATCCATTGTTATCCGATGCGACATCTTCAATGATGATCAATGCGACATATCTGTAACGAGGTAAAAATCAGTGGACAATGCCATAATGATAAATGTAACATATCCAAAATAATAAATGCGACATATCCAAAGATTCAAATACCGTAAACGCAGAAAAAATCCAATCATGAAATTTAAACACGGCATGACGAATGCCACACCTTCCAACCATGATACACCAATTAAAGTCCAATACAAAGATTCGCGACAAATCCTACACATCCAACGATAAACAATACTCCGATGTGCACAAAAACCCGGTTGTACAGACTCACATTTTGAATTAACTATCATGTATATTCCGACCCTGATAACAATATCATTTTAACAACCCATTGCAATGTTTCGGACACGATCACAATGCTATAACAATAACAACTATCAGGTAAGAATCTAAAAACCAATTCTCAAAGAGTTTCCGGATATCCAAACATGTACAGGACAATCAGCGGAACCACCGGAAACAGCAATGCAAATACAACAAATAAAGACAATATAAAGTACAGGAAGAAAAAATGTAGTCCTAGTTGCACTAAAACAAAAATCATAAACCTAATTTTAACTTCCACATGACGCATATCATAAATGATATGGGTTAAAAGATGACACCGGCTTGACTTTAGGAAGCACTGGCCTTGGCATCACATGTTTGACTTACCTACAGGAGGTTTAGTACCCATAGTAGAGGATAATCCAACTCGCAAACCGACTGAGCAATCCCATCGCCAATTTCATTGTGATAGTACATCACATTATGTGAGCAGATAAGCAAAACATGTGACATATGACAAAAAGCGAAGGATGAAGGACCGTACATGACGTATCACAAAAAAGTTTGCAAAGTTAGAGAAAACAACCGTACATACCTGGAAATAATGTAGAAGACTGTAGACCAAACGATGATGTAAATGATGACAATGATGGCAATTCTTGACACCTTCTGCTAAACGCCAGATTGTCGCCACTAAAAATTGGCCAAGGAGAAATAATGTAGAGGCAGTCTTCTGTTTGTCCGGCTGCTCCTACTCCCAACCGTCTCGACCATTATAAGTATAGATTTCACTGTAATCGTTTTCCAGGTCTCGGGGACATCCCTGACGTCACAAAAATGTCGTCGTTGACGTCACTAATTTTCAATGCATATCCCGATAATTGGACCACTGTAGTCTCGGCATCTGATTGGTCGATGGTAAGGGATTCCCGTGGCTGGCCAATATCTACCATGCTGAATATGTGTGGCCTCGTTCTAACTGGAAAGTCAAACAAAGTGCTGACGCATGGAACCAGATTCACTCTCTGAAAATAGAGGCGAGAAAAGTATGTTAAAAATTCGAGGTAGACTAAAAATCGATGCATTGGAAACGCGGGGAAATCGGATAAATATACCAAGTACATAGCAACACGCGACATGGATAGACATTATAGTAAGTCTTTCGGTAAACCGCAAAGATAAAAGCATTTGAGATATTGTCGTTAATAGGCTACTAGTCATTTTGTCCGCTCAAAACAAAATCGTATCGATTTCTAGTCCGGAACAGTCAATCGTAAAGGATCATCCCGATTCCAGTGGATTTACTCTAGTTTTAATTTTTAGTACCGGTAATGGTCTCTTTTAGCTGATTACATTCTTGTGTCCATTAGTAGGTCAATAGGTTGATTTAGTAGCATAGAAAAATATTGGTAAAACTCGGATCAAAGGCATCCGTCGTATTTTTTGGTGTTTACAAAACTGTTTTATACAGTTGGATCATTAGATAACAGCAAAATGTATTTTCTGATAGCACTCGAAAGTTTATGATAATCTGTTCAGCAAGCTTGTTCGTATTGAATCAATACAATGTTTCAAGATTATCAGAAAATTCCCATCAATTGAAATAAAAAATATTTCACACTTGAGGCTCCCTGACGGGTAAAAAAAAAGAATTAAAAAATATTTAGACGTCTGGAAGTTGATAAAACTGAGTTTAAAATTTCCGAAATTTGAAAAATCTGCCGAGAAATCGACACCTAAGACAAAACAAATGCTAAAAGCGGTTTGATCTTATGAATATAACGAAGGAAATGGTGTCCCGACGGACCGAAAAAACACACAACCTATAACAATAAAATATGCCATTACATCGCTCGATTTTACAACATAATGTTATTTGATATATACAAAGTTGAAATTATCTAAGAATTACAATCCGATTAAAATACAGATCAAGATCTTTGTTTCGTGTTTTTCCTTGATCTGAAGAAATTTTTCTTAAAGTCGTGTTCAATCAATATTAATATTAATTGTTTATAAAGCGTGATTGTATTGATTGAAATGTATGAACATAGATTTAACGTATGAACATCGATTGTTAAGAATGATATTGTTTGTTAAGTATGAACATTGGTAGTCAAGTAAAATCATTGTTTGTTAACTATGAACACTTACTGAAACATTATCATTGATTGTAAAGTTTGAACATTGATTATAAAGTATGATCATTGATTGTAAAGTATGATCATTGATTGTAAAGTATGAACATTGATTGTTAAGTATGAACATTGATTGTAAAGAATTAACATTGTTTGTTAAGTATGAACATCTACTGAATTTGAAGCAACAACATTGGTTGTAAAGAATGAACATTGATTGTAAAGTATGGACATTACTTGTAAAGTATGATCTTTTTTGTAAAGTATGATCTTTTTTGTAAAGTATGATCATTGTTTGTCTAGTATGATCATTGCTTGTAAAGTATGATCATTGTTTGTTAAGTATGATCATTGTGTGTCTAGTATGGTCATTGTTTGTTAAGTATGATCATTGTTTGTTAAATATGATCATTGTGTGTCTAGTATGATCATTGTTTGTTAAGTATGATCATTGTTTGTTAAGTATAATCATTGTTTGTTAAATATGATCATTGTTAAGTATAATCATTGTTTGTTAAGTATGATCATTGTTTGTTAAGTATGATCATTGTTTGTTAAGTATGATCTTTGTTTGTTAAGTATAATCATTGTTTGTTAAGTATAATCATTGTTTGTTAAGTATGAGCATTGTTTGTTAAGTATGATCATTGTTTGTTAAATATGATCATTGTTTGTTAAGTATAATCATTGTTTGTTAAGTATGATCATTGTTTGTTAAGTATAATCATTGTTTGTTAAATATGATCATTGTTAATAATAATCATTGTTTGTTAAGTATGATCATTGTTTGTTTAGTATGATCATTGTTTGTTCACTATGAATATTTACTGGGTATGAAATATCAACATTAATTAATGTATGAAAAAATATGCACACCTTCTGATGCAACTCGTTCACTGTAGTTAGAAATATTTTTGAAGCCAAAATAAATCAATAATTAGTAATATACAGCCTCTCTTATCAATTCATTCATTTTATTATTATCTAAATTCCAGATTTGTGTCTACTTTTTTTTATTTCATGAGTATAAATCGACATTGTTTCTGGCTGAACTCGAGTAGCTTTCAACTGCTTTTACCTCTAGTTTTTCTCTGTTTTTCTAAGAAATATCGCGGTTTTTATATTTTCATAATATTCCGTGCTAGTTACTTATCAGATTCGAGTTGGTTATTTTGTAAGTGAAACTGGCTCTTTTAACTTGTTGAATACAAACAATAATTGCACGGAACGCCCTTGGTCACGGTGTTTCAGTACATTTCGAACTCCTTTGACCGCTTCTTTCATAGCGCGAGTATGTTTGTGGTAATCTGTTCGGTCCTTTGCTTAACCTCGCCGGACTTGTTCAATCATTGGGTCTTGAATAAACGATTTTTTGCTTTTGTAGAGGAAGTTTTGATGATGATGGAAGCGTCTGTAAGACTCAGTAGAATTGAGATGATTAAGAAAGAAGGCTTTTAAGTCGAACACATGTTAATCATTGGGGTAAATATATACACGTAATTAAGGATGCTTGATGTCGATATTAGACCACATCAAAGGTGTAACGTCCGTATTACTATTGTTTCCATTTCACATCAATTTTATATCCATTCACTTACTGAAAGGAACAAACGCTTATTTACACTTGTTTCTCCAGTCGCTTAATGACAGCCAATAATAAAACAAAGGTCTTGTAACACGAGACTCACATTAAATGTTCATTAGGAGTTCTCAATGCACTCGAACATGGCGTCGACTTGGCTCTTGGGGATCGCCCGCTTTATGCTAGTAACTTAGACAAGGGTTGGCCCTCGGTGAAAGTGTTTTGAGTATGAGGCATGTGAAAGACGTTGATCGCCCCCCGTGGGAATTTTTACCCAAACCTAATGAATTCAGTATGTAACAGTTCTTTACTATGTAAAAACTTGTAACAAGTCAAAATTCTATGTCTGTCACATGTAAGATATACATAATACAATATAAATATAGAGAAACTATATTGAGTCTTTATTCTGCCCACTATTGCCAAACAAAACAAAAACAATATGCATAATCATACCGTTCTTAATGTACACTCCAAGTACATTTATTACACCTTACCGGAAGTGCAATTTTAAACGTAGTTTTAACGGCAGCGATGCATTTAAATCGCTACTATTTACAAGTATAAGAGTATTGAAATATTCTTTATGTTTGTAATAATATCAGAAAATTATTGATGGCCTTCAGTTGTATCGTGATAAAGTCGTTAGCGATGACTTAGCTGTATCATTAACGCATAATCTAAATAAAGACGGTTAAATGTGTAAACCTTGTTTGACGCCAAGATACTTTAGGTACTTTTCGATAGTCAAAACGTCGTCTTAATCATAATCATTAATATTTAGAATTATTTGACGTATGGTTGGTGAAATAATGGAATTTATTGAATAATCTTTCAAATGAATAACAATCAGGAACAAATGCTACAAATAAAGAAGGTTAAATGTGTGAACCTTGCTTGACGCCAAGGAACATTAGGTACTTTTCGATAGGTTCTTAGTCAACCCGTCGTCTTAATCATTAGTTTATTCCCCTTTTGATGGAGAACGGAATTTATTGAATAATCGTTTTAATCAAAGTAGGCTTATTTTTAGAAGAAAAAATGAGACGAGCTAAAAGCATTGAGTGTAATTAAAATATCTAATAAAATATAAAACTCATTTTATTATAAAGTGGTATTAAAAGCTACTTCTGGGCGTTAAAGATACTAAATAAACATATTTGAAAATTCTAGATTTCTATGCCGGTGGGCTCCCTATCATATAGAACTGTCTATTTTAAATCCAGAAACATTAACGTATGATATATTTATTCGACTAACTTTCAAAATATTATGAATTCCGTGAAGTCAGAGAGAAAGTAAACTATAAGAAATTCAGCTGAACCAAATGGCCGTGTTATTCATTCATAATTCGAGCTTAAGTGTCGTGTAACACTCGTATCCACTAGATAACGTTAAAGGGATTGTAAGGAGGCTTTTTAAAAAAAATTCAGGGACACTGAAATTCCACTACAACTAAGCGTTTTGTGTCGCCACTTTCGCAAATTTCAGAATGTGATGTCATGAAACGGTTAGTTTTAGTGGACTTGCAAAACGTACAAACGGCTTACCGGAAATTGAAAATGTGCAAATCGATGCTATCAGTGTCCCCGATAAACATAGAAAAAGTTAAAAATATCTCTTAATGATAATGAACCAAAATACAGCTTGTAAATGTTCAAAAATATCTTTCAGATGTAGTTAATCCCT